AATAATGATTTCTAATTCATGCTTCCCTTGGGATGCGCCAGCTTTAGGAAGAGAGCGCTTTGCCAGAAACTGCATCGGTCTCCTAAAAGAATCAACTTTTTGGGGGGGGGAAATAAATAAATAAACGCCCTAAAGGTTTGTGCAGAGCCCCAAAGACCAGCTCACCGACCGAAAGCCCCGTGCTCCCTCCCCTCTCTCCTGCAGGACTTTCCAAGGCCCGGGAAGGACGCGTGGCTTGCCCTTGTGCAATCTCCCATTGCCCATCCATCACGGCACCTGAAACGTGTCAGGCAGGCAGGGAGTGACGTGCGGGCATCTTGCAGAGCCCAGGGACCCTTTCCCTGGTTTAACCCTTCGATACCTGCCCAAGGAGTGCAGGTCACCCTCACATCTTCGTGCCAGGAGACGTGAAGTCTCCTGACTGTCCTGGAAAGAAATGAAACCCAAAGTTTACCGCTCACGAGCAAAGCGTGAGACTGCTGTCACACAATACATTTTTTCTAACAAGAGCTCACAGGCCAAAGTCCCCTCCTGCCTATTAATTAAATTGCCATTTAGTTCATGATAAAAATCCTCCTCTTAAAGAGCCAAAGGATTCCCCACGCCCCAGGCGATGCGCAGCAGCAGCAAACATGAAAACACACTGCCGTCTGCAGTCCTGGTACTGCCGAGAGCGCCGGGGCCCTCCGATTTCCACCGGGAAAAATCAATCTCTGTTAGACCGGAGAGTTCCCCTAAATGAAAAGCCTTATCTAGAACAGGTCGTGTTATACAACAAGTCACTCACTTTGCCTGGGAAATGAAAGATGATGAGGCAGAGTCCCCAGTACAGAGGCTATCTCCATAAATCTGCCAAAAAGGAACTGTGGATTACTTTGCTGGATTAATTATCTGTCCTTCAAACAGAGTCCTGACCTCAGCGGCTGAGCATCTCCAACCTGTCAAAGCAGCTGGGGAACCAGGGAGGGAGGGCTTTTGCAGGGCACCAGCTGCGGGATGCCCATGCGTTCCTTTTTGCCCTGGGAAAAGCAGCAGGAACACCCGTTGGAGCAACGGGACCCCCGGCACCGACCAGCCTGTCGGCACGAGGGGGTTGAATCCCGAGGTCTCCATTTGGATTTCTTTTCCAAATAGCCTTTTGCATCGCGGTGACCCCACTCCTCGCAAAGCAAAAGGCAAAAAAAGTGCACGTTTTCATGGGGTTAAAATACTCGGATTGGAAGGAACGGGGAGAAACAACAGAATGGCTTTTCCCTACAAGATATGGGAATGATTCCCAGTGCGGGCAGGCAGCAGGCAGGCAGCAGGCAAGCTCATCTGCCCCAACAGGACAGCTAGCCAAAGCCATGACACAGCTAGATCAGCGCTTCCTCCATCATTTCAGGCTTAACAGCTTTGTAAGCTGGCAGCATAAAGTTAGATCTTAAGTCTTATTTTATGTGGTTATGGTTAATCTTTTAGTTTTACTGTTTTCCTGTCACAGGAGGACCTTGTGCTGGAGATAGCCGTATAAATAAGAGCTGCTGCAGTATATCCCGAGGCACAGCCACCCGAGGGCTGGAGCTGAATAGGACACCGGCAATTCCAAATTAATTTTTATACCCCACCTCCAAATCATACCAATGCTTTAGATATTAATACCGAAGGAATGATAAACGGCTAGGTTACTTTTCAGCTCGCTCCCTGCTGTATATTCAACCCCAGCTGGTAAAATCAGACCGGCCACATGCAAACCCTGTGCCTGAAGATCTGGGAAAGCCAGGAAGAGGCATCATCCATCCTTGCCATGAAATGGGAACGGCATCACCGCCACCTCCCCTCGTGCAAGTGAGCTGAGGTGAGCCAGGTATAATTACTGCCTCCACTGGCCATTTTCACTTTTGCTTACGGTTGGTTTCTAATTTAATTTGCTTCCCCATTCCCATATGTTAGACCGGGTTTTTTTTTTTTTGCAAAATTGCCATAAAAATTTACCAGCTCAGGCACAAAATCTGCTCGCTGACCTTTACCATCATGATTGAGGATAATGACAAGTTAATTACGCTTTACCTGCCTGCCAAAAAAAATCGCTTGCCTTGGGTGAGCAGGATTTTGGAGGCGTGCTAGCGGCCGGTTCCCGTGTCTGGACTCTCAGACATCAGAAGGTAACAGCTTCTTTCAAAAACAAGAAACAAATCATGGACGGCATAAGGAAATGCCTTGAGCAGAGTGGAGGAGGCACGTTCCTACTGACTTCAGAAAAAAAATTGTTTGCCCCATGACCATGTTTTCTTTAAAATTTGCCCTCAGCCACAATCCAGCAGCCGAACAGAGCTGGTGAACTCTGGCTCTGGCAACAAACTCAAGTCACAGTGGAAGCAGAGCATCCTGAAAGCTGGCTTCAGGGATTTTGGAAACCTCTGCTTTAAGCTGAAGGCAGGGTGAGGACGGGGAGGAGGCAGGAGGCGCTGGTGGGTGCCTGCAGTTGTCCCTCTGTCCGTCCATGGGCTGATCCTTCCCAGCACCACCGCTCTGCAAGACGTCAGTGCCGACAGGAGAGGGACTCCTGGCCAGTTATGAAAACACTCTGCAATGCTCATGTTTAGGAAAAAAAAAAATAAAAAAAAAAATAATGCAAAGCAGTTCAATCACTCTTTGATGTGTTCTGCCTGATTCTCTGATACGAGAGCTGCCCCCCACCAGGCGGGACCGGGGGCAGGGATTAAGCTCTTGGCATATGCAAGCAGACGCGAGGATGCTTGCACTGATTTGCCTGCCTGTCACTCCGCACCCCGCTGCCACCAGGCTCCAGGAGCGTGCCTGGCTCCCTTCCACCACCCCTCTGCCCGGCCGCAACCGCCAGGCTGACGGCTACCCTGGCGCTGAGCAGGGGACGCTCGCTAAGGGCCGTCGTGGCTATTTCGCAAGAAAACCAGATAGGCAGGAAAATAAGAGCACGCGTGAACACTCCAGGTAAAAAGCCAGGGTCTAAGGTTGGGTTTCTTTGCTTCAGCAGAGTTGTGACTGTCCGATGAGCAGAAAGCCTGACGTGACTGTGGGCGGACGGGTGCGTGTAGCAAATTAACCCTCTACAGATTGCACGGTTGTTTCTGTAGGTTTGAGCCACCAAACAAAGGCTCTTGGAAAGCCAGAGCTGTTTGTACGGCGCTGGTGCTGACAAGGGAAAATTACATGCCTACAGAATTCTGGGTCAGAAAAAGGGTCCGTGGCCAGCAGCAGATGCCCGAAGGAAGGTGTACCAACAGGACAAGGATGAGTCTACGATTCCATGATTTCCCACCCAGCTGCTGACCGTCTTCAGGTTTTGAGCTCGGTGAGGTTTCTATAAGCTGCAGGTTTTTACCATCCTCATGGTAGTTCAGCAGCAGCTGGAAAAATTAGTTTGATGTTTCAGTCCAGTCTCCAGTGAAAGAGAGCGCGCATCAGTCAAAAGAAAGTCCCTGCTGCACTTTGCCCAGATGGATACCCGTGATCTGGGGGAATCTCTCATTTAATTCGTGCTGGGGGAACATTAGAATAAATTGCAGAGGGAATTAGAGGAATAAAAACTCCTTGCATCTTCAAAGGCAGACTGACCTGGATACTTGCAGTCAGGATCAATGGACTTGAAAGTCAGGGTGAAATCACCTTGACCCTAGAGGTTGATTAAAAGAGCATTTGAAATAGCTGGGCTTTAAGGAACCGAAACCGGAAAGTTATTTCCACACGTGTAGCTCAAAGGAGCTGCCAGCCAGTGGTGCAGCAAAGAGAGGAGGCACCGTTGCCATTTCTCGCTGTGAAGATCCCCCTAAAAGCAATGGCAGAAATGAGGTTACAACCCTATTTACCCCCAAGCTGGTCCCTTGCACCTGCGTTAACCTGAATAGACTGTCTGCCCCCGAGGCACAAAAGCCCACAAAAGCAGTGGCCAAGTGCAGCCCTGGGAGCATCAGAGTCTGCCTCGGACATGGCAGAAGCTCGCTGACCTCAAGGCATCTGAAATGAGATGGGTCCACCCCCAAAAACTGGCCTTTCCAAAAAGCAGCTATGCTTTATCTGGAAACGCCTGCCCAGACTGCCCTGCTCCTGGCTCTTTTGCTGTCAGAAGGGGTTGACAAAAGAGATTTGGGCTTGTGGGGCTGGAAGGAGGGTCACCCCAAAACCAATGACGTGGCAAGTAGGGTTCAGCACCAGATACCTCAGACTGACCTTTCTTTGGAAAGTAATTCTCTTATAACCTGAAACAGTCATTTTTTCTCACAACCGGTCAAACCAACCTGGTAGACCTTCCCCCAGCGCGAGGTCCCCAGGCTACGGTCCCAAAGGAGCCAAGCATTGCGCTGCGTCAGCAGTTTCAGCAAGCTACCCACGCACGCTAGGACGGGTTGCTCAGGCTTCAGAGCCGGTCCACGAAGGCAGGATTAATCCACGTGCCTATCGGAAGGCAGAAACCCTCCACAGCTTTAATTAAGCTTCATTCTCTAGCCCTGCACCCTGGTGGGTCCAGCCTTCTAGCTTGCGAAGCTCTGGCAATCCCTCGGGAGGCCAGCCCTCGGCACGGAGATGCCGAGGAAAACGCGAGGAGCTGTTCAGCCCCTAATCAGTCCCATTTTCTCCCTAAACAATAACCACCGCACCGCCAACAAGAGTTTTACGCCTGGCTCTTTGCAGGTCTCCTCCGTGGCGTTGTGTGAAGCAGAGCTGTTTGAGGCTCGTCACTGGGATTGAAAGGTTTCGCTACGAGACGTCGTCAAATTTGTTAGAAATAACATCCGCTGCTCGAGGAACAGGAGATGCCACGGCCGACGCGCTCTGATAGCACCAAAGGCAAAGCAAGCTTTTTGGAGGGGTAAAAGCTTTCAGTCATAGCGGTAGGCTACAGTAATTAGTGAGCAAGCAGTACAGTTGAGGAGAAACTTAGCCAAATGTGATCTCCCGGGCACGGGATGTACAAAGACTTACTGCAGGGCTAGCTCCTCCAGCCCCGCTGCGCTCCCCACCGCGTCCCCCCCGCAACTTACCCGAGACGATGGTGTAGCCGATGCCCCGGGGACGGCCCTTGTCCTGGTCGATCGCCGTTATCATCCGCACGGTGGTACCCTGGGGAGAGAGAGGAGACAGAAGTTACAGCCAGCCCAGCTGAGCACTGCTGGGGCTGCAGGGTGCCCTGCCAAGGCACCGCACCTCTTACCGTGGGCCACGCGCTTAGGAAAACCTGTCCAAGGACAAGGCACGGCGTGGAAAAGTGCCATCCCTGCTTCTTGGGGTACTTCAGACTCACCGCTCTCGTGCAAGCTGCAGAACTCTGCTAACCCACCCCAGGATGTGGCTGGCGACGCTCTCCCTCTCACCACGAGCTTCAGCACTGGTTGCTACACCAGTTTTATCTACTGGCTTCCCAGTTTCAACCGGTCCTTTTCTCTCCCTGTGTTCTTCAAACGCAGCGCCCCAGGCAACGAGGGATGCTTGCGCTGGCCATCGGCATCCAGCTGCATAACTAACTAAGGGAGCTGCAGAAATTTTAATTGAAACCTTTAAGAAGGAGGAGGAGGAGAAGAGCTGGGCAGATGCTGAGAACAGGGGATTGCCCGCAGGCAGGAGCTTCTGCAACTGCCAGCTCACCCAGCTCATCCTCCACCCCGCAGGACAAACCTGTTTCTTGTAGCCCAGCAGAAAGGTCCACGAGGCCAAGAGTCCCCCAAAACCAAACAACAACAGAAGTGACCCAAAATTCTTGGTTAGTTCTTTAAATAAAAACCTCATACGCTTATGTCAACTCCAGAAGCTGTACTTCCCCCGCCGCACTGCAGTGAGCCCATGTGAATACAAACACACGCACATGCACATAATTAATGTAGTGTGAAAAAATTTACAACTCAGCTGTTCTTGTTTTCATTGCTTTATTAACAGTGGGAAAAGCAGCAAATTTCTTTTTTCTTTTTTTTTTTTTCCCTGCCCTCAAAGGAAATGTCAACAGCGGCGTTTGCATATCTAACGAGGGAGCACGGTGGAATGGCACAGTGTTGAGTTTGCCCTGCGGTCCATCGGCTGAAGGCCAAAGGGAAAGCTGCTGCAGAAGCATCGCCGGTGGAAAGTGGGGACCTGCCGCCTCCCCGGCTTGCAGAGCCGTGCCCCCACGAGCTCACTGCAGATGCTGTTGCTGGCCGTAAAGAAGGCTCCCGGGGCCGGGCAGATCTGCCCCTTCCCTGATCTCTGAGGGCATTCCAATAGACTCCGTAAGTAAATCCACGTTATTAACCGAGAACATTAGCCATAAATCCCAGGTCACTGGCCTCCGAGCAGCACTCGGCTGGTGAGGCTCAGCCGCTGCCAGAGAGCCTCTAAATCACCGACAATAACTGTCCTTTCCAAAGGAGCAAGGATAGCTAAAAAGCACAAGGAAAGCGGGGAAGGAGCAGGTGAGGCAGCAGAACAAGGGATGTAGAAAGGAGGGCAAGGCAAAGCGGAGAAGAAAAAAAAAAAAACCCAAACAAAAAAACCAAACCGAGAGAGGCATGCAATCCAGCCTATTCTGCTTTAATCTGCCAGCCCCACGGGGCAGGCGTGAACCCCCCCTCCGCTCCCCGGCAAAGCGGGAGCTCCTCAGTGGCAGGGGCGGTGGGTGAAGGCACTCGGTCCATCTGACAGCTTGCTCATCGCCTGTCAAAAAGCGAGGGAGCCGGCGCAGAATGATAAGTGTCGCCTGCCGTGCGGCACATTTCAAAGGGAAGGCAGCTGCGGGAGAAGGCAGGGCTCCCGCGATGGCCGAGGAATAGCAATCGGCCTGCCGACGCTGGGGCCGCTTTATCTGCGGGAAAGGTCCCTCCCGTAGGAGCCAAGGGGAAGGGCTGTTGGGAGAGATAAAAGAAGTGAGCGCAGATGTTGCAGCAGGGAAAGTTTGGAAGGGGAGGAGGGGGAATCTCGTTCGGATATCTCAGCAGCGCGTGCCATAGAGACGTCCATAGCAAAGAAACGATCCAGATGTCTGATCACAAGAACGAGGGCTGCTAGAGAGCACGCTAAGGTTCACCAGGTCCTTGGCAAGGCTGTGATGATGGCTTCCACGTGACTGGCTTTGGAGACCGGGTCTCCCCCTCTTCTCCTAGCAGCCCTGTGTGTCTCCTCCTTGTCCAGCCCCTCCTGGGGATGAGCCACACTTCACTAGTGACTGAGAAACATGTGCCGGAGTGGAGCGGAGCTCCCTACTGTTTGTGGATGCCATCTCCTGGAACCACAGCAAAGGCAGGGACCTGGGCACCTCTTCGCATCCCTCCTGGTTTCCACCCTTCCTGCCAGCTCCTTCACAAGAGTCTTCCGATACCCACAAGATTGGCAGATCCCACCTCCTGGGAATGGATGATCCCTCCCCGAGCATCCATACGGTGTTTAGGATCAATCTTGAGCCTTCTGGGGAAGAGGCTGAACAAGTGCCAGAGGATAGGCATAATGTTTATCCACGTAGCTGGTGGCAATTATTGGTTTACGTAGTGAGCAGTAACAACAGATGAAGACAGCCTCAGAGCACGATCGCTCAGCACGGTCAACAGGAAGGCGTATTGCCGTTCAGCACGTGTTGGAGCGAGATGATGTGACGCACAATGGGACGCTACACACAGGCTATACTTACCTCTTAGTACTTCCAATGATCCTGATGTGCCTTGCCCACCATACCAGCAGAGATAACTTCACCAGAGAGGAAGACTAGGAATGGGAAAACACCCCAAACCAACACAAACCCTTGATCACAGCCGTACCACGAAGGCAAAGACTGACCTCTCACCAACCACACCTCAACAATTTCCAATTTCTCTGCCAAAAGCCTATCAGACCACAACGCCCTTCCTTTCGCTATCTAGGTCTTGGCCCGGCAAGGGGAGGCGATGCTGAGGCAGCCAACTGCACCCCTAAGTTGGAGGGGGACCCTCCCACTGTCTCTAGCCAAACGCATCTGGCAAAGCTTCCACTTACTCATGGAAACCCCAGATTGACTTCCAGCGCCAACAGCTCTGCCCAGGGCTCAGCCCAGGTATTTGCGGCACGAACCTGTGGCTCTGGGAAATTCCCAAATATTCCTGACTTTCCTTAAAACAACTAACAACTCGCCTGCTTACCGCAGGCAACGGTGGCTGCAAGGAAAGGACTCGGCTGGCAGGTGTAGACCAAAGCACCAGAACAGAGTAACTCTCTCTCTAGGGAAGAAGGAAGGAGGTTTAGAAAAGTAATAATCTGGAAAAGCCTATGCTTAAAAAAAAAAGGCAAAGAAAATAAAGAATGGCACATTATCCAAACAAAATCAGTGGGTTTTTTGAAGAGGGGCAGGGGTAAATCAATCCTTTTTTAATAAAATCCTGAGCTTTTAATAAAGCGTTCACACTGATGGGCTGGAAATATTGTAAGAAAGAATTAAGTCGGAACTATTGAGACTCTAGGGCAAAAATAGCACTGATTCTATATTATTTCTTCAACCCAAGGAGTTTTGGGAGGGGAGGGGAATGGTGCTGAAGAATTAAAATTGCTTTAATCATATTTTACATGTATCTGTACCATGCTATTGCAAGGGAGTACAACTGCTGGTCTCAGAAACCGAGCACCAGCGGGTTTGTGCCCCTTCCTGCCTTCACGTGGCTCCCTGCAGGATAAAGCACACTTTCGTTGCCTTCAGCTTGTCTTTTAGCGAGTGGATTCCTTGTCTTTCACCCCCAAAATGAAGCTGTGGTGCTGCCTGGACCATGCACCAGCTGAGGTCCAAAAGTAGGGGCTCATCAGACCATCAGCATCTCCACAAGGGGAAACAGGTCCTCTTCTCCAGCCCCTATCTGGAGAACATCAATGACGCTATCCAGTCTACAGACATTGTCAGGATACACACCCAAACAGACTCTGAGGATGAAAAAAATACGTCGCCAAGCTCAGCCACAGGTGCAGACAGCGTTGGTGCATTCGGGTGCCCTGGGAGAGATGGCTGAAGTACGCTGGGACGATAAACAGCATCAAGAAAGAAGATACGACACCTCCAGGGACAGCAAAGTCTCTCCCCGCTGCGTCCTCTTCCTTTGCCCGATAAGAAATTTCTTTCTTCTCAGCGTCCAAATAAGCATGTGCCCCAAACGCTTCTAAACCACGCTACCAGACCCCGCTCTGAGAAAAATGAGAGCTACAACGGCACTTCTCTCCCCTCTTGCACCCCTCCACCCCTTCTTCTTCTTCTTCTTCTCTTACAGGATTAGGGACTTGAAAGGCAAAGCGCAGCCCAGCGTTGCAGCAGGAGAAGGAGGGGGGGCGGGAGCGCTTCAGAAAGCTGCCACGGCAAAAAAAAAATCCTATTTCTCACTTCTTAATTCCAGTCAATTCCAGTCAAAGGGCTGATAGAGATCTGTTTGCGGTAATTTGCTGCAGTTTATCCACTCTTTTCACCTTCTATCAGCTCTTCACTGACGGGCTGGCTGACATGCTGTTACTCGAGTGAGGAAATTAAAATTTGATGCAATAATCCCAAATAAGAAGGATTTTATTAGGTAATGTATACACTTTAGATGAGGTATTCTCGCCTGATACATTGATAGGGGAACACAGACATGCTGTGCACCGCAGATAAAAAGAGAGGCAAAAGAGACAGAGAACGGGCGCGTGGAGCAGCAGCAAGACTCTGCTCGGTAGATTTGGGGCTGGGATGAGATGTCTCGAGCACGTTCTGACCCGCTGAGCACAAGGGCAGGGCAAACGTCACCCAGAAATGTGCTGCAGCCTCTTGGCTTGACCTGAAAGTCTGGTTTTGGACAGAAGTTGGCCAAGCCCAGTCTCCTCACCCAACTTTGCTGTTACCCTTTTGGTAACCAAGCCGTTCTATAGGGTGACAGTGTCCACTCCGCACGTGCGAACGGCTCTCTTGGGTGGTAGGGCAAAGCTCATGGGAAGGCTTCCCCTGGAGAGATGAAAATGCACGTGTTAAACCCCAGGCTTGCCAGAGCAAATCACGTCCTTGTTTCGGCAGCGGAGATGCCTCCTGAGAAGGATGGGACTTTGGGTCCAAACCAGACAGCAATACCACTGCCCGCGTTCAGCAGCCTTCCTCCTCTTCGCCATGTCTCTGGTGACACCTATCCATCTTGGATATCTCAATACCTTTAGAGATGTTACATGGGGCCGAAGAGAAATCAAAATCTCTAAACCCGCCAGAAAACTGCTAAGGGTTTGGTGAGCACTCCTTCATTCCTTTCTTTTTTTCAGGTTACGCCGCAGTTATTTGCTTACTGCAAACAGTGTTTGCTCCGGGAATAACTGTGATGCACGTCAGTGCATTAGCACAAAGAGATCGTTGAGCTCCACTCTTAACATATATCATTAACTTGAGAGAGATCCCCTTTCCTGGATACCAGGTCTCTCAATGAGGGTGATGCAGTCTATAATTTTTGATACTCATGGGACTTCCATTTCTATAATTTCATCTAAGGCTTTTTTCCTCCCCAGTTAAGGGTGAGTGTTTTTTCTTCCCTGCAGCTCACAGTGCCCACCACAGGAATACTCCTTGATCTCAACAGCATCAAAACTCACAAAAGTAATTCATGAAGCCATTTTTTGGTCATCTTTGGGCCAGCAGACAGGTAATGTGCTGTCTGACCACAGGATTTGTGACAGAAGGATTCAACCTTATTGATCCAGCACTCTCTGTTCCATCAGAGCCAGCGCTTTGCTCCAGAGTGAATAACAAGGCATAAATTGAAGCGAGCTGGATTTCCCCTTACCGCCGCATGAACTGAGCCGTCAGGCGTTTCGGATCCAGTTACAGGATGCACGCATGGTACGGATGCCTACCACGCCACAATTTTAGGACAGAAGGTTTTTCCATCCGTATACAAAAAAAATAGTTTCCCTATAGACAAAGCAACGGGATGCACAGTCGTGCCTTGGGAAGGTGGATGCTTGGGCTGAAGGTCCTGGGCTCCCTCGCTGCGAGCGGAGCAAACAGCTCCCAAAGCCAAAGCTCCCCTAAATGGGGGGGGGGGGGAAGAAAGAAAAAAAAAAATAGCACCCTGCTGTATTTAGAGACCGGGAGACGTTTTCCACAAACAGCGAGTTTGCTGACAAACCGAGTTTCAGAAGAACTAAAATGATTGGATCAGTTTGAGTATTTTCCCCCAGGTTTTGCCAAAGTGCTGAAATGGCTGATGATTCTGGCATTTTCAAAACTGCCTCATTTCAGGAACGTTTACTTTTTTTTTTTTTCAAGTTTTCTATTAGAAATGGCATGCGTATACGCTGTGGGGAGGAAATGGAGTGACCGTGTGCTAAGAGCAACAGAATAGCTTTTTAAAATTTAAGGAAAAAAATGTTTAGGAGAAGATTTTATTTGGGTTTCAGGCTTCCTAAACCTCCTTGCTTAGGCTCCCTCTTTTTAAAAAGGGCAAAATATTTTGGAGCTGGCTTGAAACACATTGTTCCAGAAAGATAAAGTTTTGCCTCTCTCTGGATGTCATCTGAATCTCACGATTCGGAGCATTTGCCCTTCAGCACGGAAACAAGGCTCCCCTTTGCACCCAAGCTGTGAACGTCGGGGCAGAGCGATGCAAACCTATGACGGAAGGAAGGACGGACAAACACCTCCGCAAAGAGGAGGTTTTCCTCCAGCTTTTTTGGGATACCCTGTGCTTTCTGTCCCACACCCTGCTCCATCCTCCCTTGGCACAACACCGCGGTCATGCACGTCGGAGTAAAACAGCAGCCCTTACCGGAGGTGAGTTCTCATAGATGTTGGTGCTGTAGGGCAGGTTGATGAAGATGGGGTCCATGTCCTGCACGTCTGTAACGGTGATTGCCAGGTTGGCCAGAGTGGACAGCGGCTTGTTTTTATCTTGGTCCTTGAAAAAAAACAAGGGTTGGGGGTGGGGACATAAAGGATTTCTATCAGAAATATAGAGTTATTCAACAGGATAAAGTTCCTCACAGTAGCAGTTGGGTCAAAAATTCTGACTAGTGTAGGTAAGCATCTCTCTTTCAAGCTACCTGCTGGAATTATCATCCACTGTACCTCCCTCTAAGCTGAAATACAATATGCATTTCATTCCAGCTTTAGCCCTTTTAAATTGGTTCTTGCTCTATTTTGTTCTCATCACATTTTAGGTGGCAAAGAAGCAATGCTATTCCACACATGCTTCAAAATACAAATTCCCTCCTAATGCAGATACACCCCGGGGCACCTCCGCACCGTGAGACCCAGGTGTGGTTGCCAGCAGAGCATCTCACACCCCCCCGGCGCCGATGCCTCCGCACAGCTTGGGCTCCGTCGGCTGGAACACGACAAAGCCCACCAACTTCCCTCGCGTTTCCGCTGCTACTCGTAACCCTGCGGGGCTGCCTCGCAGTCGCAGCTTTGTTCTTTTCTGTATTCGCTGCGCTGAGGTTTGGCAGAGGGGACGTACGCCGAGCACTGCTTCTGGTTTCGTAGGATGCCGCGGCTCTCGTGCAGAAGGCAGAGTGGAAACCTGAACGCCAGGATATGTCCTCGCAGTAGCGACCTCTTTGCTACTGGGCTAATGGTTTTGGCTCCGATAAGGTGCAAACCTCTCCCTCCCGCCTCACCCGGGACTGGCAGGACCGGCGTAACCACGAGCTGCCTTTCGATGCAAGCCGAGCTGCTTCCTCACCTGCGGGGATGCGGGGAGCCATCCTCCCCGCTCTGCGAAGCGGCTCAGAAGCACGCAGTGATCTTACAATGAGCGGCGGTGGCCCTTGAACACTTCCATGCTCCGAGCAGGAGAATCATCTCCCGTACACCCCATCGCAACCCATCGGGACGGAGCCATGAGCATTTTCCCAGAGCAAGACCCTTCTCCAGCAGCCAAGGCAACAGCGGTACGTGCTGCCACCAGCTTGTGCTGCCACCAGTTCTCTTGCTGGATCCTCATTCCACGGGTGCTCAAAAGTGACCCCCCAAAGCCCACAGCCCTTCGCTAGAAGGGCAGGAGCAAAGAGATAACACGCAAAGGGAAGGAAATAAATCTCTCCTTAGCCACTAATCAAGCATCGTGGTGAAAGGCGACCATTAGAGGTTACCGCACACTTCTGCAAAATGGCTCTGAACGGCGGCAAGGACTGATTGCCAGAAGATTAATGTTAATTTAAACCGTATTCAACAACACAGCTTGTACATTATCCTCTTAACCTGCAGGCCTCAGCGTTTACGGCCTGGATGGATGCTTATTTCTGACTCGCACTCTGCCGTTAGCGTTATCAGGTTGAAGTGGTTCGTTTTTTCAGATAATGTTTTTTTTCCCCTCCCCTTCACCTCTTACATTTTGGTGAAAGTACTACAGCTAGCACTGAAAAAGCAAGCGTGTTTCAAGTTTCCTCACCTACCGTCTCCCACGCTGCCCTTTCCAGTCTCCTTCTGCCCTTGCTGCCTACATCCCCGGGATGAAATGGCTCCTGCCTTGAACCAAGGCTCCACAGCTTTTCTTGCAGCCACCCCGAATTCACCATCACCCCAGTTCCCACTCCGGACCATACAAATTCTTCATCGGGCGAGCAAGAGTTTGCATTTGCTCTTCCAGCCCCTGCTACGTTGGTGCGACTCTCATCCTCCTTCCCAGGCTGAGCTTTGCCCCGGGGTTTCTCATTGCCCTTCCGCTAGAAATTACCAGCGCCCTGCGACCCAGCAGAGGAGGTATTCCCGCAGCTGCAATCAAGCCCCGTTCAGAGACTTAAATATTAAGTCTTTGAACTCCCTGAGCTGGAAATCCCTAGAAGGCAGGAGCGTATTAGGTAGCAAGTACCAGCTATGCCCCCCATTTTATCTTTGCTGGTAACTGCACCGGGGATACAGGGCTAGATGGAGCTGGATGGACCAAGGCAGCGTCCTTGAGGAAACCAGAATCGGACATGAGGAAGAAAGGCACGTTTGCATCCAGGCTTGTGTTTGCTCCCACGTTTTCTAACCTGGGAAAGCCTGTCGGTGACAGAGAGCGATAAGGAAGCAAACAACGGAGAGGGCCTCTTATCACTGGAGTATTTAAAATAAAACGAGATGTATTTTAGAAAAAATAAGCTCCTGGGGAAAATTCCACAGCCTTGGACATGGAGGGCTTGGGCTGAAAGGTTGAGCTGTTTGCCCGTGGCCCCGCGGTCTGCAAATGCCCGCTCTCCATGGCCGTGGAGAGCAAAGCAGCCCCGCGCAGCCCTCCACGTCCTCCCTCGGTGACATTTGTGGCTTTGCATCAAGACAATGATCTTGATTAAATCACATGCTTCAAGAGCTCTAGCCAGCTGCCTGAAGGGCTCAGGAAGGGTTTTCCCCACCCCCTCTCCTGAACACAGAGCTGGTCAGAGGTATTGTTGGGCTGAACCTCACCTCCTTCTGTTGCATCTGAGATGGGAGAGGAGCCACCAACCCAGACCGCCTGCTGGCAAGGTGCTCCTCATTCACACGCTCCCTATCGAGCTCTCCCAAGATTTGACACCGGGAAAGAAGTTTCCCATTCAGGTGGGGCATGAATTTGCCGTGGTGGCCAGCTGGACATACATCTCCCGGTATAGTGGTATTGACTGTAATTAGGACCCTGGTTTCTCCTCTGTCCACCACAATTTCAACTCTTGGTGTCCAAACTCAGCTTTTGCTGAGTGAGGCTCATGGGGTTTAATACAGGTGAATCCACTTGTAACATGCCGTGATGCACGAGGAACGAGACCGGAGGATTTAATGGTCTGTGTGCCCTGTACCCGCTTTCTTCACCTTTATGCTCGCCTTTACGCAGGAGCCCCTGACACGCACCCGATGCCGTTGGAGAAGCGCAGCCGTGCTCCACGAGCTGGAACTACCCAGGCACCGCATTGCTATACTACCTTTCTAAGTGGGAAATGCTGGATGTGCCCGAGAAGATGCCAGAACGGAGCAATAAAATCAGTAAGCGGCAGCTCCTTCCCCGTTGCAGTCCCTCCCGAAAACGCCTCCTCCCCTGGGGCAGCCAGGATAAGACTCACCGTCGCGTTGACCTGGAGCTGGTACGCCTGAGTGACTTCGTAGTCCAGCTCCCGTATCACCGACACGATGCCACGGCCGCTGTCGATGGCAAAGAAATTGGAAGGAGGCTGGAAGGAGTAAAGCACGCTGCCTCCTGCCCCCTGGTCCGGATCCGTGGCGTTCACTATGAAAATCGGCGTGCCCACTGGTGTATTCTGGAAATAAAATAAAAAAATAAATAAATATTGGTAAAATTGTACACCAGCCTATTTTCCCATCAAACGCACATCAGCAATTTCCTTTGCCCACCAGAAGGAATATCTAGAGACCCAAGAACTTCAGTCCTATATTTTCAGGATGTTTATAAGTTATACAGCTGTTTTCTTTATTACAGTATTGCAGCAGCTATAATAGTTGTTACACGCTTATAATAATAGTTATACAGCTGTGGTCAAGATGGCACTCTATCACAAACCCTTATTTTCCCAGACATCACAACTTTCCAGAAAAATGACTCTCTTTGCTGAAACTTGTTTACTGCTCAAAGGCACTTTTCTTCTCAGCGCTGATTCCCTCTCCGTTTTCACCATAAGGCATTAAATAGAAGAGATCCTCAAAACAACAAGCGTTAAATGCAACACAGAACTTTACGTAAAATTTCAAAATTATAGTTTCCACAGCAACTACAACCTGGCCCCATTAATGCAGGCATTAACAGTTAAATCGTCATAAATCTGGAACTAATCTACATGCATAAAATACGCAGCTGAGTGCACAAAATCAGCAATGGCAAATGCAGTTTGGCACTTCTTATTGTTTAACTTCACAGCAGGGAGAACAATTATCCATTTTTGGTGGAACAGCTGCATGTTCCTATGCAAATCTTAAATGCATATTCTTGTCTCTCTAAAGGCAGAAGCACAGACCGCAAGCAAAAAGGCTTTGCTGAGGACCCGGGCTGCAGGTACGCACAGATCGCGACCGCTCGGGCAAGTCCATACGTTTGTTACACGTTCGCAACCACGTCAAGGGTTGCCGAAGAGCTAAAACTTGAGACAGCAAAGGTCAGAAGCGAGGCGTGACAGCGGCTGGTTACGGCCAGTTGGGATAATACGGATTATTTCTGCAAACCTCTTCCCAAGCCTCTGCGTTTAATTGTTAACTTCATTCGTATTAAATTATAGAGAAGCATCGTGAAGTGCTGAGAAGGTGGAAAGGAGACTCGAGGGGCTGCAGAACTTTGAAGACGGGGCACCGCTTCCAAGTGGAGCTCCTCCTTCAGGCCCTCGGCCAAAGCTGGGCAACCAGCTGAGCCACTGTCGGGTGTTCTGGGAAGCACGAAGCTTGCAGCGACCCACAGCCAGCTGTCCCAGGCCACCCCCTCCGCTAGAAAGTATGAGAAATTGGAGCTCCACGCTCAGAGAGCTGATTTAAACAGTTTAATACTGGGTGATGGCACCAGAAGAGAACCAAAGCATCCGAATTTCCCCCGGCGAGGCTCAGGCCAGCAGAAGCTTGCCTTCCAGGCAGGTGACGGGACTTGCTGCAAGCTCGGTCAGACAGAACGAAGAACCCAGGGCACGTCCTCCAACTCACATTGGGGGTCCCGAAAGCAGCGCTGAGCACGCGTGGTGTGCTCTCGCACCCTCATCCGCGCACGTCCCTCACGCCTCCCTGCCCTCGCACCCAGCCACACGACGGCATCGCAGGGACGCTCTGACATCCAAGCTGGCCTTGGGCTCCAGCAAAACTCCGCTTCCCTTACTTCAGTGTCACTTCTGCCGAGGTGCGAGAGGGTGCAGTTCCCACCTAGATTTTTCATTTGCTTTCTGCTAAAGAAAGCCTCGCAGGGCATGGCCTGCGGATTATTTTTTAAAGCACCTTCGAGTTATTTTTGTGATCAGCAATCATAAAAGCATAAAAGATATAGCTAGAAGGGACCTCAAAAGAGAAACCTGTCCCCGTGCTACACCTAAATCATTGCCATCCTTAAAGCCTCCCAGTGATGGAGACACCGCAGCCTCCCCCGGCCCATTTGTCCCGGCGGTTTGCTACCCCTTGCCTTACAACTGCTCGTTTTCCATCCTGCTTAACCCAGATCTGCCCTGCCGCCGTGTAAGCCCTTGACTTTGTGCCACACACACACACACAGAGCACATTAATCCTGGCTTGCGCATTTGAAGAGCTGGGGAACCGAGACTCGGTCAGCTCGGGAAGCACGTTGGGGTGGAGAAGCCCTTTGTGGGGGGCTCTGGGGGGGTGTTTGTTTTCCGAGACACCTCCTCGGGCAGGACTAAAGCATCTCCCCATCCCTCTTTGGGCTGCCCGCCTCCCCTAAGCCCATCATCAGCTGGGAGCAGCCCCGGAGCATCCCGCAGCCCTCCCCACGGTGGGCACCGCAGCTTCGAGTGCCGCTGTCCACATGCTCCAACGACTGCCTTCTCAAATTCCTTCCCCGGAGCGCCGGGGTATCAATGTCAGGATGAAGAGCATCGCAAATTAACCATTAATAGGGGGAGGAGGGGAGAGACAGCGAAAGAATAGATACGGGGTCGCACCGATCAGGTCTGGGCTATATTGTCCCCAGGAATAATAATATTCATAAGGATAAAGCCAGACTTGAATATGTTTCCTCTTCTTTTTAAGTGCCCCTAGCCACTCCTTTTAACATGCAAATCCGCTCTGGTCACCCGTGATTATGGGGCTGGGAGGCTGGTTGTGAAAGAGGAGAGCTTGATTTCCCCCCCGCATTGTATTTCATACAATAGCCCAAAAGCAGGCTTTGAAGAGAGTTCATCTCCTCGTCCTTCCAAAGGAGAAGCTGCCTGGAGGGACACGGAGGTCACCGCTTTGGTGCTATCAGCTCCGGCCCCTGCAGACACCGCCTGAGCTCTGACTTGGCCATTATCGTATTTTTATCCTTATTTTACAGCTTTACTGACCAAGTCCCTTGGTCGGCCAGGATAGCAAAAACCATACGAGTGGGGTATCAGCTCTGGACAAAGATCTGGTTGGTGCTGGAAAATGGTCACCAGTATCTACACCGAAGCATCCGAGGGGCTGGGAGGGATCCCAGGGCAGGAGCTCAGTGGTGCTGGGCACCAGCAAGCGCATGGCTGAGCGCACGAGCAAAGCGCGGCGCTGGTGAATTTAGGAGGGGAGCGGAAGGGCTCCCAGGTGATAGGAGGAACGTTACAGGAGCTTGAAGCCAAGCAGCACGGTCACAGAGGGGGAAATCTCTGAAACTGCCCAAATTGAGCAGGTCAGCGGGAAAATTTCACGACCGCGTGCACGCCCTTATTCCCAACAGCAGGCAGGTCAAAGGACACAGACCTGTGAGAAGTGCTCTGGATAGCGCAGCTTTTTTTCCCCAGCTCACATTTAAGCCAAAAACCCAAACACCTCCCCCCCCCAAAAAAAAAAACCCCAAACCAAAACCAACTCTGGCAAGGCAAAACCAACTGCGGGATGCAGACATCCCATCTCAACAGTCCTCCAGGAAAAGAGGTCTCATTTTTAATGCTCATGCCCAGGCAGGACACAGTCAGGACTCAGAGGAATTTCAGACCATCTGCCTTAAAAAGCATAAGAAGTATGTCTTTAAAATCCTCTTGCCATTTTTTGGGTCAAACAGGCTCAAGATATTTCTCAGTGGGAGGCTGACGTCTTTATTTCTCAAAAGATGAGGCCCATCATCTAAACAATGGAGCAAAACATCTGTATAAAGAGAACTGGCTGGGGTTGGTGTTTGATGGTAAATAACAGGCAGAGAGCACGTCCCAGGGAGCTGCGGCTGCCCTGCCCACGCCAGCTAAAAACAGACCCTATTTCTGCATTTTGAACATTTGGTCCATTTATAGGACTCTTCTGGTTGCCCCTCTCAACCCGTTCTTCCTTAGCAAAGATTAATTGCCATTATGCTTAGGTCACTGATAGGCAAAAATAGCAAACGCTATCTTTTCCGTCCAGAAAAAAAGAAATGCAGACAGACAACCTACAGGTGCTTGTGGCAAACAGGTGAGTTTTCTACACAAGTCATTTTTTTTTTTTTTTAAAAATTTTTAAAGCTCTCTCCAGCAGCCAGCGATGAAGCTTCACTCACCACAGAAAAAAAGAACTGGTGACAAAACTGTGTCATATCATTATATCTTTGTTACGATGCCAGCAGATGCGAGATAAAAATAAACACGCAGACAGATGCCTCCCACGGAGGAGGAGGAGGGCAAACGGGAGCGGAACCGGCTCCCGACCTGTCTCCAGCACCCCATCCTTCATCCGACAGCTCAGCCGGAGCGGCTCCAGCACCCAGGTGCCCCCCGAGCAGCTCCGGGAGTTACAGGGCGAGCCAGCTGCAATGCCGCTGGGCTGCGTGGGTGCAAGGTAGCGAGGCCGGTCGTGCCTCCCTTCTGTTGCAATTAACGACTAAGAAAGGTTTGAACTGTTGTAAAAACCTTATAGGAAGAAGCTCGGGGGGGGTCCCGTTTGCCGGAAAGAAGTACTGAATGATAACGGCGTGCGTTACACGCGGCGACCCAAAGCACCAGGAAAGCCGAACCAAAGGCTGCAAGGTACACAAGCTCAAATCTCTAACCACTACCAGACTACTCTGTTGGATCACCAACAGCAAGGATAGGCTTCTATTAAAGTATGGAACAAACCACCCTAAAATCCCTGTCCAGATATGAAGGATGTTGCTGTACAAGGAGAAGGCAGAGGAGAGACCGAGACCTTCCCCCCCTCACACCAATGCAGCAGTACGACAGGGCAACACGCGCTTGCGAGCGACCAGAAAGACGTCGTGTTTCCATCCAAAAGCTCTCACGGGTACGGACTAAGCACGTCCCACCACAGCAAACACCTCCCCTGGCCCGGGCTGTCGCCTTCCCTGCAGCCCTGCAGCAGGAGCGACCGGACACAGCCGTGTGCTGCGTTAACCCTGGCATGTCCACAGCTGGGACACCAAAGCCTTATACGATATTCTCCTCAACAGGGCGGCTAACGCTGAAAAGGTTATCAGAAGAGGGCCCTTTTCAAATATTCACACCTCACACTCTGGCCACACCTATAGTCTTTAATATCTTATTATGAATCCTGCTATAAAATGCATTAGTAATAAAATTTCTGATGGGTGCTGCTCCGATGCACGGCGGCAGTACAAGGCAGATTACGACCCGGAGGAGACGCAGCCTTCGGAGGTGCGACATGCCCTACCGGG